TTGTTTGGCAGGCCCGGGCTGGATTCGAACCCGCCACCTTAGGTGTATGTGGCTGGCGCCTTAGCCACTTAAGCTACAGGCGCGGAGCCATGATTTTGAGTCTTAATGAGACAAAGGAAGGATCCTAGGAAGGATATTCATACATTCAGTTAACATTTTAGAGTGCCTACTATATATACATATAAAAACTGTAGGGGATACAAACATGCCTGAGATTTGGTAACTGATCTTATTGAACTCATAGTTTAATAGGGAAGCTATTATATATAACAAATATCTACCTCCTCCTCAGGTTAGTTACCTATAATTCAACACTATTGCCTTTGAAGTCCAATTTGCATCTTACGTGACAGCTGCCTTAAAGACAAATAAATAGTTCATGGACAGTAGAAAATAGGCCTTACATTCAAGGGAATCTGAGATTTGGAAAAAAACAAATATTTACCTGTACATTTTCCAATATAACGTGATAAACTATCATGTGAACTCACTGCTAATTTGTATAAGGATTTACATATCGGGATAGTAATTTGAGACGAATAATGTTTACAAGCCCAAATGTACAACCTATATTATATGACCATGATGTACATTTATCTATATCTTCACAAGCAATATAAAATTTGTCCATGATATTCTAAGGTTTTACATGCACCCTATCAGGTTAGAAGTGAAGATAACACATAGAATTGATAGAAATTAATGTTTCTATTCAGTGCCAATTAAAGACAAGCATAAAATTAGACTAAATTTATTGCTAAAGGCTTAATATCCATATACCTCCCTCTCTACCACAAAATATGTATGTTTTGTGGGGAAAAAAATAAGGACAAACATTATCTTCCCCAATGTTGTGAGAACGTCAGACTGCTCAGGCCATTCCAGTGCTTATCAAGATATACATTCAGTCTAGTTTATATGACCTGAGACCAATAATCTTAAGCAGAAGAATAGAGCTCTTTCAATATTAAACTATTGCCAACCAGAGAAACCTCCCACCGATATTAGGTCAAGGTGCTAATCTAGGTTAATGATCAAACTCCAATCTGTAATAAATACACCCTCCCAGGACTCTAAAAGGACCTTTAGACTAGAATTTAAATATGAAAGTACAACATTAAAACAATAGTCACATGTCTGATGATCATATTAAGACTAAACCTTAAATGGATATGCACATAGTAGAATTACTTCCCAAATAATCTCTTAAAATTTACAGTGCCCAGTAGCCAAAGTCTTTCAAAAGATGAGGCCAAAAAGACGTATTTCACACTATGCTAAGATTGTCTCCTTATTTGAAGTTATTAAGTAAAAAACACATTCGAAGGGTTTTATTACAGATGTTTGTTCCAAAGATACTATTTTTACACATGACAGCCATTTAGTTAAAATATTTTATAACTTTTCTTTCTTTCTTTTTTTTTTTTTTTTTTGAGACAGAGTCTGTTGCTCTGGGTAGAGTGCTGTGGCATCATCATAGCTTACAGCAACCTCAAACTCCTAGGTTCAAGTGATCCTCTTGCTTCAGGCTCCCTTGTAGCTGGGACTACAGGCACCTGCGACAATATTCACCTACTTTTTCTATTCTTAGTAGAGATGGGGCCTTGCTGGTCTCGAATGCCTGAGCTCAAGCAATCCACCCTCCTTGGCTTCCCAGAGTGCTAGGATTACAGGGGTGAGCCACTGTGCCCAGCCCTTTTTATAGTTTTTCTGACTTATGTACGATCATTCAGTTTGACAGAGATTAATGACTCACTGTTCTTGTTTACCTGCAGGAAAAAAAAAATCTCAAAAGCAATGAGGAGTGAAGGAGTCTAAAGTATAGACACTTTCTGTTGTATCTTCTTCTAATATCAGCCTATATTATCCCTCATGGGTCTGGAGAATTAATAACTTTGCAAGAGTGGCTTTTTTCTGGGCAGCGCCTGTGGCTCAAGGAATAGGACACCAGCTCCATATACCGGAGGTGGCAGGTTCAAACCTGGCCCTGGCCAAAAACTGCATAAAAAAAAAAAATGTGGCTTTTTTTCCTTATTTATTTGGGGGCTTAAATTTGTAGCTATGGTACTGAAAACAGACATTATTTGTCTTTTCTCTATAAGTCAACACTCAGGAAAATGTTTTGATCAGTTAAATAACCTAGCATTCATTTCCAATATTGTAACCTGTATAATTTTTGAAAGCATAGAGAATTCTAAAAATTAGGCTTTGAAATATATTATAATTTAAAAGATTCTTTTAAAAATCACAGATGTGGTCTTGTAGTATGTGGGTTTTTCTTTGACAAATAGAAGTAAGTTTTTATTCTTTCAGAAGATATGATGTGGGTGGTAGCAGGGGTGGGATACTCAGGAACATACTAGCCATTGTGGTCAGATGGAGATGAAAAAACATTTCATCATCAAGAAATGTACATTGTTTCCATTTTAGGAACAATGTGCTGTTTCAGTCCCCACAATTCATATTCATACATGCTATATGTACTCCAACTATGAAAAATCTACTGAATTAGCTCTCTAGTCACATAAAAGACCTATTTCTAAGCATTATGACATATCACCCTGGGTACCTTTGCATATCTAAAAACTGCCCCCTCTCACTGTTTGCAACCTAAGTTAATGGCATCACAACACTTTTGGTCACCTGGTTTAGTAAGCTCAGAATCAAGTCTGATTATTCACTGCTCAGCTAGTCAGCCATCCACATGCTATTTACTTCCTTGCTGTCTTCCATTAGGCCCTCATAATTTCCTTGCCTAAAATATTTCAGTAACCTCCTAACTAATCACTCTCTATCCAATGTTTTCCCTTCCCTTAAAGTTTCATCAGAGTTTATCTCTTCCTATTTGAACGAAGTCTTAAAAACCCAACTTAAGTATACAATACTATACAATCCAAAACTGGGCAGCGCCTGTGGCTCAAAGGAATAGGGCACTGACCCCATATACTGGAGGTGGTGGGTTCTAGCCCAGCCCTGGCCAAAAACTGCAAAAAAAAAAAAAAAATTCAAAACTTAACGTGTAGCAAATTCACTTTGCTTATTTTTTTCACTTATACCTACTTTTAAAAGCTAGTCAAAATTCACGTACAATCCCAAATTAAATTTTTCTGCTTGCTACTTTTTTAAAAACCACAAAAACTCCACGGAACACTGATATTTCTTTTTGTGGAACAACAAAAAACTCTTCATATTATTGTATGTTTCCATTACTAAGCAGGCCTTATTGAGCCTTTTTCTCCCTTAAGCTTTTTTCTAACCTTAAAATGCTAGGGAGGGGCTGTTATAATGCTTCAGCTGATTCCACACGTTTTAAATGAAAATTAGTAACTTTATAAGTTATCTTTGTGGCTTGGCGCCTGTGGCTTAAGTGGCTAAGGCGCCAGCCACATATACCTAAGGTGGCAGGTTCGAATCCAGCCCGGCCCGCCAAACAACAATGATGGCTGCAACCAAAAAACAGCCAGGTGTTTTTGGTCCCAGCTACTTGGGAGGCGGAGGCATGAGACTCACTTAAGCCCAGGAGTTGGAGGTTACTGTGAGCTGTGGTGCCACTGCACTCTACCCAAGGGGCTTGAGGCTCTGTCTCAAAAAAAAAAAAAAAAGTTATCTTTGTAAAAGACCACAAAACTTTATATATGTAAACTTAACCATTTATTATAATATACATGTGATCATATTCAAAATTTATTCTGAATCTATAACCTCCCACATAACCAGTGTGCTGGAGAACAGAAACTGAGGGGAACATTAAACACACACACAGACAAAGCCAGAAGCTTTTCTCATCTTAAACAGCATTAAGAAAATGGGAAGAATAGCATTTTTTCAAAGAGATGATTAAAATATAATCTATTGCTAATTTGAAAGGGTGAGGTACTGCAATCCCCTTCTTCGAGAAACTCAAAACACTTCACTTAAAAATCTGATATATCATAGTTGTACATATTTTGGGGGTGCATGTAATATTTTGATACCTGTATACAATGTGTAATGATCAAATCAGGGTAAGTGGCATTGCTATTACCTTAAACATTTACCTTTTCTTTATGTTGGGAACATTATAATAATAGAATAAATTATTATTAGCTATAATTTCCCTACTGTACTATTGAATACTAGAATTTA